CATGGTACGAGAATCTCATCGCCGCATGTGCCAGGAGTTCGAGTGTGGCCCCACGGATTTTGTGATGCTGGTGTGCGATGGCATCTCGGAAGGCTCGCTTCGGGCGGTTCTCTGAAGTTACCAAGTTGCTTTCGGTGATCCCGAATCCCGGAATGAGCGGCAGGCGGCTTTTCGAACGAGGCCGCTGTGAAATTGGCAGCAGAGAGGCTGCACATTGCGGATGGCCAACCGGTTGATCCCGGCGAGGCCTCCAACAGAGCTAGGGCTGCCAGGGTGTTTGATGGATCAGCATAATCCGCAGGCAGCGATGGCCGTATGCACGGAGGCGACATCTGCTTGGGGTGGCCTGATCACCTGATCTGTTGCGATATTCTGCACCGCTGGACAGGCCCTGAAGTCCGGATCAACGGACAACGTCCAGCATGCAGGGGCAATGTTCGTATTTGGACTTAACTTGTGACTCCGATGAGGTCAGCGAAATAGAGAGACAACTACTTGCTCCCCTGCCGCCCCAGAACACATGGGGGGCCACAAGGCCAGGGGGTTTGATACGCCCCCTACGCCCAATGAAAGAAAGAGAGAGAGAGAGAGAGACATCGCTGACAGGGGGGACGCACAGGGGGAAGAGACGGAAAGGTTGCCCAAAAGACGCAAGCCCACCCCGGGGAAGATGACAGCGACATATGCAGTCCGCAGAATGGCAGACCTTGCCCGCATGCAGCTTTCACAACATGCCCAAGCAAACATATGTCATGACGAGTTCACACCATGCATAGACTCCCTTGTGCAATGGTTGCAGCGCCTCGCGGGGGATTGGCTCGCTGAAAGGGGGATGCCATCCCTCATGCGCCTTCTCCGGGAAGTACTTCTCAAGATCGCAGGGGGAAGTACCAACATGGAGCAGGAAGACTGGCGCCAACTCCTTGACGTGTGCCTTTCGCTCCAGAACCTCCTTGACGCCACAGAGGGGGGAACAACCCTGGAGCCCGACCACCAGGCGAACTTTGCGACCTACGAGACTGCGCTCCAACAACTTCGTGCAGAACTACCTTCTTGGGGGGATGCAGAGAGGCAAGATGTTCAAGTCAGACTCCTGGAGATGTTGCACCAGAACTCGGCTTTGCTCGCCGCCAGCAACGGGGGGAACGACGCCGCAAGCTCAGCGCAGCCATGGTGGGAACAGGACAGACACCACGGCCTGGGGGACATAGCCCGTGCAGAGCAGCAGACGCAGATGGAGCATGACGCGGAGGGGGAACAAGACGACCTCTCCGACGCATCTCACCGTCGGCGACGAGCCCTTGCTGAGCACATCCACGAATACTTCTGAGAGCTCACCAGAAATGACGGATTCAGATAGGGGGATCCCCGAGACTCAGAAAGTTTTGTTTATGTTTTACCGTTTGTTGCACTGCGGTCTTTGAGCATGCTACCTCAGGGGGATTCCTTACAAGGTAGAGAGCAGAAGAGACCCCTCTTGTAGTTCTTGTGTCTTTTGCTGTTTACGTGGGCCTCCTTGATCGCATGCTACACTCCGAAAAGAGGGAATCTCACCGCTCCCCACGTCTTTCGAAGCAATCATAGACGATGCATGTCAAAGTTGTCGTCTCACCCTTTCAGCTTCCCTCCCCCATGCCATGATCGTTAGGGTACGTAGGTTCCTCTAGCATGGTGAGCTGTGGGTTTCGCAACAAGCTGGGGGAAGAACTAGGAAGCCTCCTTTCAGCCACTCAGTCAGGGGGAAAGGCAGATCTTTCTTCGACTACGTTTTTATTTTTTGTTATTGTGTTCATTCCTTGTACTTGTTTCTACATCCACCCCCTGCCAGTACAGATCGCGGTGAAAGAAAGGGGAAACAACTGATGTGTAGGCTTGTACTGCTCCTGAAGATGTGTGGGAACCCATCATGAACGTACGCTCTTGCTTAGCTTGCTTGGTTTTCTCAACTGGCAACCATATCTTAGTGTCCCTTTTTCCGCTGATGGGGGAACCATATCTT